TGGTATGCTTTAGGAGAGGTTACGTGTGCTAATGATGTTACACTTCTTATCTGTGATACAACGATGGAAGTTATAAAAGCAATGTTGGTTGAACCCTTCAGTTGTGAGACGGTCAATTGTTCAAATAAGGGTCTTGTGAAAAACACCATCGCCTCCAGCGATCAGTAAGCTATATAGCATTCCAAACAAAAATGGGTCAATTACAGGAACTACAAGAGTTTCTAATTGATCGCATCCGTACGGAAAACTGGTATGTGGATATCTAAGCCCTGAGATCAACACGCTGCAATGGTTACGCAAACTATAAACCTACAATATCACGCCAGTGCACATTCTCATTGAAACAGAAATATCTTTGGAAAGGTATGATTATCATTTAAATATTTGGATATATTAATACAATTTTCGATACTTATTTGTTGAAAATATTGAATTTAACTAGCGATGGGTGTACAATGGATATAAAACTTTACGAAATATCCCTCAATCTTAAATAGCAATCTCCATTTCATTTTCAGACTACAGGAGTGATACCCAATTTTCTAGAGGAGAAGTACTTCGAAACTGATGAGCATTACAGCAGTTAAACAATGCTAAAAGGTCTTGGCTAAATAAAATTGGGTATTTGATGACAAAAAAAGATGAAAACAGTAACGGACAAGTAGGCATTATCGTGATTATTGATACTATTTAGATCTAATTGAAGCAATAATAATGTAATACACATATTGGGATTAATTTATAACTATTAACAATTACTATCATAAGCATATTATCTAGTAACAACTATAATTTACAATAAAGGGGTAAATAATAAATACATTTTGTTAGTTACATATCAGTGTTGAGCAGTATCTAGATACATTTATCTAGATAAATTATCTAGATAAAACTGCAACATCTTTATCTCATCTAGATAAATAAGATATTAGGTATCTAATTGTCATCTAAGATAAATTGTATTCCTATCTAGATAAATATATCTAGATGAATAAATTATTTCTAGTTTTTTTTTTATTTTTGACTGATTTGTTGATAATTGGATACTTTTAATTTTTAATTTTATTATACAGTTTTTTAAGGAACATATTATTAATCAAACAAAATTAAATTATTAAATTATTCCTAAAAATAAACATGAATATTTTAATTTTTTTTTATAGCAGTTTGTATAATATTGGTATAGGTATTTATAGTACTATAGAATATCTCGGCACTTTATCGTTGACACGAATGAGATTATTATTTATTATTCTATACTTTACTCGTGTAATGTTGATTACAAGAAATGGTTTCAACTGTCTATTTATATAAACCGAAATAATATTATTATGTATTAGCTATTAGTAGTTAGTACGTATAAAGTGTAAAAACTTCATCCAGCGGCGTACAGTATTTCGTGAACTCATGATGGAAAATATATTCTATTCTGAGACACGACTGCAAGTGTATATGGACATAAAGCAAAATAATATAGTATCAGCATTCGGCATTGTCCCGCTAGACATTCACAACTTCACTTAATAATATTATCTTGATTTTTGGATGGTGAGGAGGTGTCCGGGGGTAAATCGAACATAAATAGCTCAAAATATAATAATGTTGGGTATTCCTTGTAATTTGTAAGCAATATCATATTATTATATTAATATTATTTAATTGCTAACGAGTAATGATTAATGAACACTCGTCTGTCGTCACTCGTCACTCGTCGTTAAACGTTATCGGAGGTTAATTTGTAAACTTTTAAAAGTGTAACGTATTTATTTTAGTATTATATTATTTTAAATGGAGCGATATATTACTAAACTATCTGAACCTAAACAAAAAAAAGCGCGTATTTATGAAAATGTTGATTCCAATGTTCCTGTTAATGTGGCAAGTACATCAACACAAGAACTTCAACAAAGTCACTCAAACAGTGTTCCGAAATTCCAATATTTATTTAATAATTTTTACAAGTTAATTACAATAAATGGTGAGAAACTAACGGCTTCGTGTGAATATTGTCCACAAATTATAAGTGCATCTACATCATCCAGTGGAAACTTATTAAGCCATATAAAAGTAAGTATAAATAGTACAATATTAATTAACATTATTTAATACTATTTACTAGGTATAGTAATTACCGCCTATATTTTCTATCGATGTTTGAAGTGCAAACATTTATTTTTTAAAATCTCATTCATGTAGCTACAGACTAGAGTACGAAATGTAATTTAATTATTTAGATACTTATTGTTCAATATTATTTTTTCAATTTGACCTATTTAGTAAACTTTTATTTGTAAAAAACATTGTTACATTTCTATTAAGTAGGTACCTATTTTATTATCTTGATAAATTGTATCGATCCAAACGGTTAAATGTTTGATTAGGTACTGAATGTTGTACTACTTTTTTTTTTTTTTTAGAAAAAGCATAGTTTTTTGATGTCAAAAGTTGAAGATGCAAGAAGGGAAAAAAAATCAGTCTTCAAATATCACTCAGACAAAAATTTTCATAAATGATGTTTCTTCAAATAAAGTTTCAAAACAAAAGGTATTGTCAATAATTTATGTCAATGTACCCATATTTAATAGTATACTATTATACAAAAATATATTATAATTCTTAACTATTATACAAAATCTATACTAGTCTTAAATTATTGAATTTAAAAAGTCAACAATAATATGGTTTCACGTTAATATTTAATTAATTTAAGTCATAGGTTATGATCTAAGTCTAAGACATTATATTGATAATAGATTTTTTAATTAAAAAAATTGAAGAGTTCTGTATTATATTTTCAAGCATTACTACCTATCATATAATTTTTAATAAACATTTAATTTCCTTAAATCAGTAAATATCTCAATAATAGTTAAAATATTATTATTTTATAGATTTAAAATTATAATATAAACTTTTGGTGAAAATATGGGGTATCTACAGTAACTTAACATTAAAACATAAATTTGATTGGCCTAATACAGTAAACCTATTTATTTATTAATTAAAAATATAATTATTGGGTATAAAAAATTATGTGTGAAGTTTATGTAAAATAATACATTAACAACTAGGTAGTAACTATTTTTTTTTTTTATAATAACCAAGTATGTGAATAATAAAAATACTGATACCTACACTTGAATATAGATAATAAATAGTATAATATAAAATAATTAATGAATTACTTAATTTATTTGATTGATTATACAAATTTATATCATAAGATTACTAAATATTTTATTTAATAAATTGTAAAATGAAATGTATTATTTCAGATTAAAGAATTAGTGTTTAACTATATTGTCAATGAAATGCGTCCATTAATTACAAGTGAAAAAAAGGCTTTTCGGGAATTAATAATTGGGTTAACTGGATTGAAAGACACCTCTATGATCCCTGATCGAAGACAAATACGATCCCATTTAAAATCTACTTATGCAGCGTATGTGGACATGTTGACAGATTTAATCAAGAAACATAACTATATTTGTACGACTGCAGACATTTGGAGCACAAACAATAAGAGTTACATGGGTAAGTAATCACTAATTTTATATTCATATATATAATATATATATATATATATATATATGTAAATGTGTAACTTGAATGAAGAATGAATGTATTCAAAAGAAATATATGTTCTTAGGCATCACTAAGGGTATCTATGGGTACTTTTGCTTCTCTACAAGGTTTTTGGGGGTAACAAAGGGTATTTTGGCTATCCCATAATCGTTTTCTTTCCACAAAATTATATTCAATAGTTATTATTTAAGAAAATGAATTGTAAGTTGTAACTTACTATATGAATTCAAACATAAGTCAAAAAAATTGTTGATTGTTAATATGTATAAGTTCTGTTTTTTATATCCTAATAATATTACCAAGTTCAGTTAAAATTATAAATATACTAAATATATTTATGTTTTATAAAATAGTAATACAACGTTTTTTCACATTTAGAAAAATAAATAGTCAATGGAAGGCAATTTATTGTAAATAATTTTTTTTTGCTCCCTAGAATTTTAACTTTATGAGACCAATGTACATTTTAAAAATCATTGGATGTCTGGTAATCCAAAACATTTATGACATTAGCACATTACTAATTAATAAAATTGCTTCATTTTAGGTATGACTTGTCATGTTATTAATGAGATTACATACCAACGGGAATCATTCGTTCTTGGATGCAAGCGGATGAAAGGAAGTCATGATTATCTGAATATTGCCGAGGTTATGACAGATATTACTGATAACTATAAAATAGATCTTTTGAAAGTAACCCATACAATAACAGACAATGCAAGCAATTTTGGTAAATCTTTTCGAACGTTTTCAAAAGCTTTACCTTCTGAATTTCAATCGGATTCTACAACTGCGGGTAATTTTAATGAAGATGATGATGTAAGTAGCTCCAATGGTGAAACAGATGATGAATGTTCTAATCTAGATATAGTTAATGTTAATACTGTGCTCACAAACCCAGGACGACTTGAATCAAATAATGATAGTATATTTTTGCCTCCGCATATTACTTGTTGTGCACACAGCCTAAATTTAATTGCAACTAATGATATTTCTATTATCGGCGATAATAAGTATAGCAAAATTTCTGAATCAACATTTCAAAAAATTGTCAAGTTTTTGGAATCTATCTAGTAGGAGCACAGTTGCATCTGATAAAGTATTAGAAATATGTGGCTGTAAGTTTCCTGTTCCTATAATGACTAGATGGAACTCGCTATTTGATGCATCAAAAAAAAATTTTGATACGCAAAACTGAAATAGTTAAGATATTTGAAGAATTGAAGTTAACAAAAATAAATAAAAATGAGTGGACTTTCTTAGAGGAGTATTGCACGGTGATGGAACCTTTAGCCATTTGTCTTGATAAAATGCAGTGTGAAAAAAAAGCATTTTTAGGCTATGTTGCGCCTATTATACAAGTACTACGTCGCTCTTTAATCATATTGGAAAATTTAAAATACTGCAGACCTTTATGTTTAAAAATCATTCAGAGTCTAGAAAAAAAGGTTTAACTATTTATTTGATTTATCATTGCCTAAGAGTAGATGTTTCGTTCTAGCCTCAATTAGTCATCCTAAATTTAAATTAAGTTGGATACCACCTCGTTTTATGGATGTGTGCAAAAAACAATTTTTGGACGAATGTTATCAAATGTATACTGCTCAAAAACCAAGTGAAACAATTTCTGAAAGTGATAGTGATTTGAGTGACGGGGAATTTTACTCATGCTTGCAGGAAAATGATAACGACTCTACATCTTTCTCTGATGGACCACTAGACCAAAATAGTTTCAGATCTACCAATGTTTCCCGTGTCCAAGCGTTGAATTTTTTTAAATTCTAAAAAGAAGGAACTCTGTATGTTGGAAAACCATCCTATAGTAAAACAAGTTTTTTTTAAAATATAACACTTCTATTCCATCATCAGCTCCTGTTGAAAGACTTTTCAGTGGAGCAATTCAAGTTTTAACACCAAGAAGAAATCGTCTTAGTGACAAGACATTTGAAATGTTACTATGCTGCAAATCAAATAATAACAAGTAACAACTGAATTCTTTTAAAATAATTTGTATTTCAAATTTTAAAATTAAATTGTTTTTTTTATTAAATTGATTTTTAAAATTATAAATATTATATTTTAACATCATGTTATTATTATTATTAGATACATAACTTATAATGTCTTACAATTCTAAAATGTTATTTTATTTTATTGATAATTAAAAAGTTGGTTTTGAAATTGCAATACTTGGATACAGTACATATAAGAATGTTTTTATCAATTGTTTTGTTTTTATTAAATTTGTTATATATTATAATTCTACTTTTAAGTAGATGATATCCTAATGGTACTTGTATTGATTAATATTTATTAAATAAGTATAATAATTGTAGGTACAGAGTTTGGAGTTTGGACTTATAATATAAAATAAAATATATAATAAAAGTTCCCATTTAGTAATGATTGAATACAATAAGACTTACAGTATATCTATGTTCAGTTTGAATTGAACCTAATAGTAGGTACATACTATAGAAATAAGTCATTATTTAATAATTAAAATAAGGCATCCCATTTGGAAATTGTTAATTTTAAAAAGAATGGTCATATGATATAAAAAAAAATTTGCTTAAATAATTAAAAAATATATTTGTTTTTATGCATTTTAAAGAAAAAAATGAAAAAATCTATTATGGTATCTAGATAAAAATATTTTCATCTTTATCTTTATCTAGATAGAAGTAAAAATCATAATCTGAATCTGAATCTAGATAATTGTTTACGAAATTATCTTTATCTTATCTAGATATTATTTTTGTTATCTGGGCTCAACACTGTACATAATTATTATTTCATACTACTGTCCTTTCCATATTAAAAATGTGGTGTTTTCTTTGAGTTATTAATTTTCCTTCATACTGTAATATCGAGAAGTATAGTACATTAGTACTACATATTATCCAATTGCATATTATATACTAAATAATATATAGTATTGAATATAAAATAATGTAAATAATGCGTTAAATGATGATTTTAGAAAATCATGTTTTGAGAAATAATTAGAATTTAAAAATAAACATAAAAATAGTGACAATCAAAACAATAATTACAGCAATTGATTTATAGTTATAAATATCTAAAACAAGTGATACAAAATTAAAAATAGTGAGTATACCTAGGTAATATGATATGAAAATATTATCAAACTATATATAACTGTCTTTACTATTTAGCAAGACGCTAATATTTATAAATTATTTTACAAACAAATTGATAAGTGAATACATTTGTAATTATTTGCATATTTAAATGTTTTATATTCTGTTTTTGGAATAACGTTACCCCAGCCCCACACAAAAATGGATTTTTCTCGTAGAACGAGTTGCGTACAAATTTCAAAATGGTCGTACAAATTCATATTAATTACGTACTAATTATTGGTATACTTGAAGTTGCATTAAACAGTATTTAAGGGTTGCGGGGCTGGAATAACGTTACCCAGCCCCACACAAAATGGATTTTCTCGTAGAACGAGTTGCGTACAATTTCAAAAATTGTCGTACAAATTCATACAAATTACGTACTAATTATTGGTATACTTGAAGTTGCTATAAACAGTGTTTAAACGGTTGCGGGGCTGGAATAACGTTACCACCCACACAAAAATGGATTTTCGTAGAACGAGTTGCGTACAATTTCAAAATGGTCGTACAAATTCATACAAATTACGTACTAATTATACATAGTAAAATATTAATTATTTAGAAGTGTGGTAAGCGCGTGCTCTAATGACCATTTAAACTATGCCGATATATTATTATCGTTATGATTTATTCTGCTTTTACGTATTGGTCATACCAAAACTATCAATAATTAATATTTATGCATTATTTATTATAATACTAAAACCACAAAATTAATTATAAAATGAAATTAATATGTGTTGACAGTACATTTTCTATCATGAAATTATAATTAGGTGGGTTCATCAGGAGTCTTTGAGACGGCGACTATAAAAGAAAAGTAGTAACACAATAAAAAGTTTGAAGAAAATTGTATTATAATTTAATATTTTTATCCATTTTGAAAAGAATTATTATGGTTTTCGATATTAATATTGGTAATATAATATTTATATTCTATTTTATATTAATAATGAGAAGACTGGTGTTATTCAATAGGTATTGCGACCGGCCCGTGGACCGTGACCATTTTATAAAAATTAAAGAATTGTAAAGGCATAAATAAAAATAAAAATTGTAATTTAAGAAAAATTTTAATTTAATAAGTTTTTAAAAATTACAAGATATTTTACAATTTTAATATAAATACAAAAAAATTCATTGAACTTAATAATATTAAATAAAAAATAAATTAATGTGAAATTTGAGCTTGTTTTTCTTTTACCAATTTTTCAATATTTGGAGTGAAATGTGTAACGCCAATTCTTAATATGGAGTGTAAGTGTTCATCAGTCAAACGAGATCTTTCTGAACATTTTGCGTAATTCATCCGGGAAAAAGTTTGTTCGCAAATATAAGTAGAACCAAATAATGTAAAAATACGCATAGATAATTCTTTTATTTTTGAAAAATCATCAGGAAGCGTCTTATAAAAATGTATTAAATTTGTGTTCTTTTCTGTGATTTCTTTGTACAAATCTTTTATATGATTATTTGTTTTTAAATCAATAAGTTCAAGCTGAATAGTTTCTTGAACCTCATTTTCATCAGACTGAAATGGATTTTCAACTAACCGAAATGAAATCATATGTGATTTAAAGTCTTGAAAACGGTTTTCAAATTCTACTGATAATTGCTTCAACATATTCATAAAATGATTTGTCGGAACGTCTGTAGTAGGATAATTAAGTTTAATTTCTTGACACGTTTTAAAATATAAAAAATTTTGTTTTAAGATTTGGTTTTTAAAAAGTTGTAATTTTATTTCAAACGATTTTACATCATTTATAACCTCGAAAATAGTTTTTGACTGTTTTTGAAGTTTTAGATTTAATTCATTTAAATGAGCTGAAATATCAGTTAAGAAAGCAAGGTCCCACATCCATTCTTCATTTTCGAATTCTTCTACAGGTTTGTTTTTTTTCTATCATAAATATATGAATTTCCCGCCGAAGATCAAAAAATCGTTTTAATACTTTTCCTCGACTTAACCACCGAACCTGATTATGGTACAACACATCTTTATGTTCCGATTCAATTTCATTTAAAAATTCTACAAATTGTCTATGTTTTAATCCGTGAGATCTAATGAAGTTTACTGTTTTTGTAACAACTTTCATTACATGTTCCAAATTCATAATTTTACCACACAGAGATTGTTGGTGAATAATACAGTGTAAAAATATAAGTGTTTCAAACATTTTTGAAGTTGTTAACTCTGTTATCCTCCCAATTAATCCGGTATTTCGCCCAACCATATTTGGAGCCCCATCTGTTGTAATACTACAAAGTTTTTCCCAGGTCAATCCTAAATTTGTTAAACAAGAATTCACTTTTTCAAAAATATCAGCTCCTGTTGTAGTTCCAGAAATACTTTCTAATGAAGCAAGTTCTTCCGTTATATTATAATCTGTATCTATTCCTCTAATAAATATTAATAACTGAGCAGTATCTGTTAAATCAGTGCTTTCGTCCAAAGCTAATGAAAAAAATTTAAACGTTTTCGATTTTATTTGTAACTGTGACATTAGATCACCTCCTATGTCTTCCACCCTCCTGGTAATAGTGTGTCGAGATAAACTGATATTTTCGAATACAGACATTTTTTCTAGAATAATTTCTTTTACACTTGCCAAGATACATTTTTTAACGAAGTCCCCATCACTAAAACTTTTATTTTCGTGAGATATCAGGTTAGCTACTTCATAACTTGCTCGAATGATCTCCTCCTTACCTCTATTTTGTTTTTCAAATAAATTACTAACTCCTTCATTTTTTAAATTTTGTTTGAATTTTTCCAATAAAGAAGTTCTAACATTCCCTAAAAATGTAAATTATAGCACTTATTTATACATTTGTGAACCTAAATACCTAAATAAAATAATTATGTACCTTTACAATTGACGTATTTTCCTTGATGTTTACTTTCATAATGTCTTTTAATATTAAATTCTTTTAAGACCGCGACGGTTTCGTAGCATATCAAACACATAGCTTTATTATGATGCTCAATAAAAAAAATAGGAGAGACTCCAATTGTCATTAAAAACACGACACTCATAGTCAATTTTCCGCTTTTTATTTTGAGACATTTTATTAATCGAAACTCAATTTGTTATTTTCACAAACGATAATCAACAGTTTCTAAAGACGAACACAAACTAGTGACTAGCATAAAAATATTCAGTACTTCAAACATACATGATTAGAGTAGGTAATCTATTCGATAAGATAAGTAAATAAAGATAATTTTATATGTTGTACATTTTATCTAAGTGAAAAAAAAAAACCATGAAGTATACATGGCCCGCAGTATAAATATAAATTTCGAATGTGGCCCGCGACTTTAAAAAGGTTGAGCACGCCTGATTTAGACAGTGAAGATGAATGGAAACCTAATAATAATCACAAATCATCGGACTCTGAGGAATATGACAATTATCTATTTGAAAACATTATGACGAAGGAAAGTGAAAATATTGTAGAACATGAATTTGAAGATATAGAAATTGAAAAAAATCAAGAAATTGAAATTGAAACGGAAGAAGATAATAATTTAGTGAGGTGGAGACGAGGGCAGCCTGAGAAATGGAAAAGAAATATTGCTGTAAAAAAAAAGAAAACTATTTAAAAAACCATAAGCGATAGATTGTTCTAAATGTAAGTTCAAAAGTTCGATAAATTTTGATGAGGATTATAGAGTTCAATTATGCAGGGAATATTGGTCACTTGATTATGCACAACAAAAAAATTTCATTTTATCTCGTGTATCCCAATTTTCTGTTAAACGACATGTTCCTATAACAGGTTCGAGAATCGCTAAACAAACATCTAAAAATTATAAATTTTTGAATAACAATACTCCAATTCGTGTTTGCAAACCATTTTTAAAAATAAACACTTTCTATTAGTCATGGGCCGGTTGATAAAGCTTTTGAAAGTTATAATGAAAAAACCGGAATTCATATTCACACAGACAATAGAAGAAAGAAGGAACCAGTAAATAAAAAAAGTTCTGAAACTATAAATTCAATAAAAAATCATATAGAAAAGTTCCCAATTGTTGAATCACACTACTGCCGTTCAAATACAAAACGGCAGTATTTAGACCCAACTCTTTCAATATCAAAAATGCACGAGTTGTATATTCAAGAATCAATTGAAAAAGGAAATGAACCTGTATCTTTAACCACCTACCGCACTATATTTTCCGAAAATTATAATTTGGATTTTTTTAAACCTAAAAAAGATCAATGTTTGTCATGTGAAAAATTTAAAAACGCTGAAAAACCTATTCAAGAAGATATTGCAAACAATTATGAAAATTATATTAGGAGAAGAGATGAGTCATTTGCTGCCAAAAATTTAGACAAGGAACGTGCCATTATATTATTAATGAAAATTTTTGCAGTGCAACTTTTGATTTGCAAAGCGTACTTCAAATTCCGTCGTCAGAGGTATCGTCTATGTATTATAGCAGAAAATTATGCACATATAATCTGACATTATATGAAGCTGCTTCACCGAACAAAGCATTTCGCTATTTATGGACTGAACTTGAAGGGCAACGGGGTAGTTCAGAAATCGGTTCAGCCTTGTTAAAATGGATAAATCAACTTCCACAAAATGTAAATGAGATATCATTATATTCAGATACGTGTAGCGGTCAGAACCGAAATCAATATATTGCAGCGTTGTTTTTGTTTGTTGTAAATAATTCACAAAATATAAATATATTGACACATAATTTTATGGAGAGCGGCCACTCTTATATGGTGGTCGACAGTATGCATAGTGCCATAGAAAATGCAAAAAAAATGTACCGGTTTATACTATTCATGATTGGTTGACCATTTGTCGCTTAGCCAGATCAAATAGGCGTAAAAAGTCTTCTTCACCTTACTCTGCTCAAGAGTTAAAATACACTAATTTTATGGACTTGCGAAGTTTAGCAGGAACAATAATGAAAAATCGGTCGGTCGATGAAAATGGTGAAAAAGTTAATTGGTTGAAAATAAAAGTCATGAGATACGAAAAGTCAAACTCATCAGCCATAAAATTTAAGTATAATTATTCCGACGAGGAATTTAAAATAATAAGAGTTGGTGGGAGAGGTAGACCACCAAAATGCCCACAAACATTAAAACAATTATACACAAAACAAATACCAATATCCGATGCGAGAAAAATGATCTATTAAAGTTGTGCAATACCGAAGCAGTTCTGAAAGAATTCCATGAATGGTACAAAAATATTCCTAGCAGTACAAAAAATAAAGATGCCAATATTATAATAACTGAATTTGAAGACCAATCAGAGTAATTGTATTATGACGTATTATTTACTTTAAAGTAAAATATTTCATTTATTCCTATACACGAAAGTTTCTGTGATTATATTATTATTATTATTATGACGATTGTCTATTATTTAATATAAATTAGTTTGTTTCATTACTTTGTTATACACAAAAGTATAAAAATGTATTATTTTTATTATTTATTTTAAAGTAGTATGTAATATCATTTATTCCTATACACAAAATTTTCTGTGATGGCAATATTGTTAAGTTTTTTCAGTTTATTGTTTATTATAAAGTAGTTTTATTTCATTATATAATTATACACGCAAGTATAAAAAAAATGTATATTATTTATTATTAAGTATTATATTTCATTTATTCCTATAGGTACACAAAAGTTTCTGTGATTATATTATTATTATGACAATTGTCTATTAATTATTATAAAGTAGTTTTATTTCATTATTTTGTTATACGCGCAAGCATAAAAAAATTATTATGTTTATTATGTATTTTAAAGTAGGTATTATGTTTCATTTATTACAATACACAAAAGTTTCTGTGATGATAATAATATTATTATATTATTACAATTATTATGTTTATAATTTTTTAAGGTACAACATGTTATTTAATTGTTATAAATAAACTATATAGCATTATTATGTTGTTTTTTTTTATTAATTCAAAATATAAATAATTTGTTGTTTTGTTTTCTAATAAAATAATTATATTTTTACTTTCCACACTTTTGACCAAGTGATTTGAGTAAGTCAGTTAGTCATTTCTTAATTTGATCAAGTGATTAAAAAGTCAGTTGGTCATTTTTTCATCTATCCTTTTTTATGTTTTACAAGTATTCTGCTAGTTATTTTAAAATATAAAATTGGATAATTCAAGGTTTAATTTCTTTACGGTTTTAAGGATTTTTTAAGACTAACATTATTAAAATTGAACGAGTTTGTGAATTTCCAGACCATTATGAATATTCAATTGTGCTTTCCCAACAAAGTTCAAATTTCATTTAGACACTTTTTGCACGACGCCGACGACTGACGTATATAATTATACGTATATTGTATAGATACGTATTTGTTACGTATATAATATTAAAATTTATATAAATTGACGACTGTGTCACCTGAGTAAAAGACAGACTTTGTTGTGTTAGAATACTCCGAAAGGGTACCACTGCCACCAGTTGTTATATACTCTTTCGGTTAAGGCCAAAAGGTATATGTATGTTGTAAAAGAGTTCGTTCACTTACGGGTTGTATTCAAAACACTACACAAAATCTGTTTAACTTTAAGAAATTATTTTATTAATTATTTTATTATAAGAATATTTTGACAACACAGTATTATGCGAATCGGCTACTTATTCACGACTAACTCTTGCTTATTCTACGTTCTTGTTTTGGCGACGCAGTCGCTTGCAAAAAAAAAATACACACATTGCTTACACTACTATATTATTGTATAATATACTTATATGCTTACTAATCTAAAGTGTGTATGCAAGGGTTCCTAACACAACTATACAAATATTTAGTAATGAATTATACATCTTGTACCTTTACATGAAAATAAATATAAAAAATAATTTAAAAAAAAAATACAATAAATCTGGTTGATTGAAGAATCTTCTAATCAGGACACAGGCAACTTTACCACTTTTACCACCGGACGCTTCAAGGTTCCATTGGCTGTCTTCAATGTCACAACGCGTACAACTTCAACTGCACCTGGATGAACCTCAATCACCCTTCCTAATTGCCATGACACGAGAGGCCGACCCGGAGACTTTACGACGACAAAATCACCGACATTTAAGTATCTTGCTTTAACCACTTTTGACGGCATTGTAACGTCTGAAGATACTCATTGGTCCATCGTTTCCAAAAACATTGTTGCGCTTGTATAATCAACTGCCATCTAGTTAGACGGTTGATGTTAACGTCTGTCAAGTCAGGTTCTGGAATGGCCATGAGAGGTTGTCCTATCAGAAAGTGCCCTGGAGTTAATGCACACAAATCGTTCGGGTCACTGGAAATACTTGTAAGTGGACGTGAATTTAAGATTCCTTCGATCCGAATAATTAGTGTGGTCAATTCCTCTATGGTCATTATTTGATCACCGATGACTTTTCTCAAATGAGTCTTGACACTTTTAATTGCCGCCTCCCAGATCCCTCCAAAATGGGGGGCTGCGGGTGGATTTAAATACCACTGACATGGGATCTTACTCATTAAAGTGTCTTGGGTTTTTGCTTCGTTAAGAAAAGCCTTTAGTTGTCGAGCG